AAAGCACCGAGCTCATCTCCCCCGTGCTATGCGGCTGCTTCCCACTAGCTATCTATTTTACGTTTGGTAGTGTATATATGACGGGAATAAAGACACAGACCTACTAGAGAATGGACTTGAGGATATGGGGAGGGGGAAGGGTAAGCTGTGACAAAGTGAGAGAGTGGCATGGACATATATACACTGTCCAGGGCTTTTGAACTCAGCCTCCCTCACCGGAGGGACGGTCATTGGCCAAGGGGTGGGGCTGGAAGGTGATGCACCTCCCAGCGGCCAGGACGTCAGGGGTGTGAGGGCATCCCCTGGAGTGGGGCAGGTGGGAGCCCTCAGCCAGCGCACCTGTGCTGTCAGGGGAGGGGCACAGCAACGGAACAGCGAAAGGGGACCAGGACACACCAGCAGTGTCTGCCACTCTCCCTCTGACAGCACCCTCTTCCAAACACCTCCCGCCTGGGTCCCGGAGGTAGCATCTAACTTGTCTTCCCAATTCTACCCTCATGGTTCTCCATTCTCCACGCAGCATCCAGAACCATCTCTTGCCTTGAGTTTAATCTGGGCACTGGGCGGGGAACCTTCCGCAGTTCTCCCATTGTGCTTCGATAGAAGCCCGAACTCCTCGCCCCGCCCTACAAGGAGCCCAGTGGCCTGGCCCCGCCCAGATCTTCGCTCCAACCTGCACCGCCTTCCCCAGTGGCCTTCCCGGGGCTCTGACTCCCCAGCCGCTGCGTTGGCTCAGAGCTTCTGCACAACTGTGGCTCTTCCTGCAGAATTTGTTCTCCAGCTGTCCTTGCATGCGGGCTGGGGGAGTGACGTGAGTCACAGTGAGGGACGGAGGGGGAGAGAGAGAGTGAGAGAGAGAGAGAGGGAAGGAGGGAACTAAGGAGGGGGACAGGGAAGGAGAAAGGAAGGGAAGAGTGAGGAAATGAGACGGAGAGAATGAGTGAGTGAGTGAACAAAAGCATTTGTATTCTAGAGAAAAATTAAAATCTGTCTTAGGAAGCAAGAGTCATTGCTGTTAGGTTAGGTATTGGAAAAAAACCCAATTATTTCTGCATATAAACAGGCATAATATATTAAATATATATTTAAAAATAATATATAAAATATACTAAAATATTTATAAAAATATTTGCCGAGGTGGCAACCAGTGAAAATGGACATTAGTAGAGGTTTACAGCAGATCCCAAGGTCCCCGCACTGGGCCCAGTGTTAACCCATAATGGGGAAGCAAGATGGAAAGGGGCAAAGGTAGTACCGGGAGAGAGACAAGCAAAGCCTAGGGAGGTTTAAGACCACAGCTGTTTTCCAAATGATCCATAAGTATCCAGTATTTCAGGAACCAGTGTCGCTGTACTGATGTGCCTTGGCTTGAATATGTCCCCTGAATAGAGGCCTTTTAACAAATTTGGGTTCATACCATATATAACTTGGTGCCCTACTTTTTTCAGTTTAACGGTATATTGTGTGCATTTTTCCATGGTGGACACTTTTTGGGTTCAGCCCTTTGCTTCCAAAAAGGATTTCAGGCAATTTCATTTTGAATCAGAGTGTTGAGGGGCACCTACTTCAGGCCACAGAAAATTCTTTTCAACGACCTGCTTCCTAATGGTGCGTCTAGTCCCCTTTATAAGTCGCTGGTCATTGGACATGGTAAACAACTGTCAATAAATGAAGGAAGAGGTAGATACTAAGTGCAGTCAAAACACCAAGGGCGGGGAGAGACGCTAAGTTACGTTTTAAAATTGCGGTTACTGGGGTAACTGAAAACAACATTAAAAAAAAAAAAAAAAAGCCAGCACTGGCAGAGAAGCAGCTCCCTGGAGATCTGTCTCACTGTATTTCATCTGTTCTACTCACAGAAGGGCAGTATTGTTCGGTTTTTCGGATTGAATTTTACACAGATCCTGGGAGGATTAAGGATAATGAACAACGTATTTCCTGGCAATTAAGCGAAGTGGCTGGTCTAGGTAAAAACTCCCCTGCGCTCGTAAGAAATCCTTCTTATTTGAACTCATATTTGAGTTTATTAGGATAAGAACATTACTTATTCAGTCAGCTATAAAGTACTATTTTTATTGCTGTAAAACATGACCAAGACACAAAACTAAAATAATTCATTATTGTTCTTGCAAATCATTTCAGTTCTTCAACTTTTCATTGCATTTTCCCCCCTTTCTTCCTTTTTCAGTCATTCACTTAATTCATGTATTCATGGTTTTTACAATATTTTCAAATTTTTGAGGACAAGCGTGTTAGTTATTCTGTACCATCAAATAATATTTTCATTTTAGAACACATCAAACCTTTATTTTTAAGAATTTTAAGTTTGAGAAAAGCATATTTTGCTATTATTAAAGAAAATGCTAAATTCCCTTTTAATACTAATAATTAGAGATTTATATTTTCACTAGGAGATTATAAAGTTTTAAAGTTTTCTACTACATTTAATGTGTTCTAGTCAAGTCTCTCTCCACTGTCTTTTTTCTTTTTTTTTCTTTCTTTTTTTTTTTGTAGAAACACCATAAAGGAAAATGTAACTCAGCGATCTGTGCCTCACCTTTGAAATTCATGAACTCCTAGGAAAACAGATCCACTTCTGCCCTAAATGTTGATGCAGTACTGTTAAGAATGGAAGATTCCAGGGCTTCCCTGGTGGTGCAGTGGTTAAGAATCCTCCTGCCAATGCAGGGAACACGACACACACAGTTCGAGCCCTGGTCCGAGAAGATCCGACGTGCCGTGAAGCAACTAAGCCCGTGAGCCACAACTACTGAGCCCACGTGCCACAACTACTGAAGCCCCGACACCCAGAGCCCGCGCTCTGCAACAAGACAAGCCACTGCAGTGAGAAGCCCACGTACCACAACGAAGAGTAGCCTCCACTCGCCACAACTAGAGAAAGACTGTGCACAGCAATGAAGACCCAACACAGTCAAAAATAAATAAATAAATTAAAAAAAGAAAATGGAAGATTCCAGAGGGAACTTCAGATTCCGGGGCACAGGGTTTCCTTCTGAAGACCTGGGCCCTGTATCTGACTTGTCTGCAGGATTTCTCAGAGATGGGCTCATCCCAATTCCTGTCCAAAGGTGGTCAGTTGTCAGAAAGGAACCTCTGAAAACCTACCACCTGCTGAGCTGAAGTGTGCATCTCACGAAAGTCAATATTTTCAGCTTCCCTTTGTCCTGAATGTGTATAAAGGGCTTTCAAGTATTTATCCCTTTTATTGTGAGTATTGGCAGAGAAAAATAGCTTTCATCTTTGATCCTTTTGCAGAGAGCAAAAATGTAGAAGCACGGATAACTTATTTTAGACTTCACTAGATCCTTTCTTTAGGTTATTTTATTAAAAACCCCAAATAGAAATGCAATGACAAAAAATGAAACTACACTATATTAGTGTCAAGGTCACGTTTCTTTGAACCTAGTAGTTTAATTAACTTTGTTCTTAATGATGAGGTGCACATCAACTTAGCTTAGATGATAGAGTCTCCTGATGTGAAGAGGTAGTCAATCAAATCAGAAGAGGGTAACTAAAACCTTGGAACTTGAAACTATGGATAAGGGGGGACTTCTGTACACTGTATTTTAACCTCATGAGACTTATTATTGTTTTATACAATCCATTTTTGTTATTGTCATTTAGACAAAGTGCATTTAGATTTACCCACATTTTAACACTTTTTGTTATTTGTTATTCCTTCTTGAGCTGAGTTCACACTCCCAAGTAGACTGTGTCCCCATTTCCTCAGAGTAGCGTTTATTAGGTCAACAATTTGTGATAGTGATATAGTTATTGACCAGAGATTTGAGTCCAGGAAGTGGGGTTTGGCAGCTGTATATACTCAAGGTGATTCTTTAGAACCACAGTGGGCTCGTTGGATCCTGTTAACAGCTGGTATAACAACTAGGGATGAATGAATGAATGAATGAATGAAAGATGAGTGGTTGATATTCTTGTACACATACCCTGCCACTGGATGTAGTAGAAAGAACTAAACTTGTATAGTTTCCAGTTCCAACCAACATCATCTGTTACTAGCTGTTTGTTGCCTTGGACTAGTCAGGTAACCTCTCTTGAACCTGATTACTTATGGTATAAATTGTATAACATTGCTTACTTTCTACCTAACAGGGCCCATTGTAAGCATCAAATGACACAAAGTATAAAGAGAAAGCTTTTTTAATTGTAAAGGGGGGGGTGGGCAAAGGAGGAGTCCACTGTTAGTCTCCAGGTTACAATAATAAATGCCTATAAAAATAACAGTTTTAGTGAGAATCCAGGAGGAAATACATATAAGTGCTATATAATAACACTCACCTCATAGGGAGGATAAACTTTGATAATACATCTAAACTTGGATCATACATCACTTACATGATAAGTGCTCGCTAAACATTAGTTATCTCTACTATTATTACTGCTTTTTTATGAGAAAATGAAGCTTGGAGAGTGTTAGTAACTCATCAACATCTCATAGCTAGTTAGTGGCTGATATTAGCCTCCAAACTCCAAGTCCAGTCTGATTTCAAAATGAAGCCTGTTCTTCTAACCATTTGATTATAAGGGAATCCCTTTAAGATTACTATTTTCTTTAAGCTTGGGAATAGACTATATCCTACATGATAGAACACAAAGATGGTACTCAGGTCATTGAAAATGAAACTTTTTACACTACATACGGCATGAGTCCATTAACTAGTTCGGTGTTTCAGGGAGATTAAACAGAGAACTTGTCAACAGGTGGGCAAGACCTTCCCCTTCCTAAACGTCACCGCCAGGAAGCTGGGGGCTGGGACAGTCTCCCCGCGGGGCGCATGCGCACAGCCCTCGGGGGGGGGCGGGCTTGCAGGGGAGCGGGCGGGAGGTTTGAAACCCAGAGGCAGAGTGGCAGGCGGCTGGGCTGCTCCTGAGAGTCGGGCTCGCCCACTCCCGCCAGGATTCATCCGCTCCGGGATTTGCGGGCCGCAGAGCTCGAGGAGGCGGCCAGGCAACAGGGACGCCCCCCCCCGGCGGGAATCGAAGATCCGGGGCCCCGTGCGGATATCGGAGGCCCGGGGTCCCCGCGCGTGACCTGACCCGCAGTGTAGACCTGCGGGGCATGCGAGTCTGGGCGAGAAGAGCCTGTCTCCACTTCTCGCGAGGGTGGGCCTTATTCCCCCACCGCGGCCTTCCATCGGCGGCTTAGAAAACGCGGAGCAACGGATTTCCGCGCAGCAGGAGCTGAGCGGCGCGCGCCCGCGCTGCGCATGCTCAGTGCCGCCGCTCTGTCAGGCTCGCGGCTCAGCAGCGGCGAGCTCCCCGCCGCCCCTCATGGCGGCCCCCGAGACCCTTGGGGGCCCCGTCCTGAAAGGTGAGCGGGTGGGGGTCGAGCCGGCTTAAGGACGGGTACCGGGGTCGGGAGGCGCTGGGACCGGGCTCGCGGGACGCGCGGGGCCCGCAACCCGGCCCTCCCGGAAGTCGGCCCGGGGGCTGGGGGGCTGTCCCCGGCCTCGGCGCCGGGACCACCCGTGTGGGGTGGGGTGTGTCTCCGAGCCCAGTGCCGGGGTCGCCCCACGTGGGTTCGGTCCGGTGGGGCCGGCGGTGCGGAGGCGCGGCGGGGTGGGAGACGTGGGTGGATTTGATTTTCACCGTTTTCTGGGTTCTGGCGTCTTTGGCCAGGTGGGTTTGGGGGGAGGGCAGTAGTGATATTTGGGGGAGAAAGGGTAGCGCGCCTCGCGTGCATCTGTCAGTGTTGGCGTCTCGACCGCTGAGTGAGCAATCACCGCCTCTAGGCACACGTGGAGAGCATCAGGGTCGGAGCGGCGCGAGTCAACTGCACTCCCTGCCCCTTGGATCCTGCCTGCTGCTTGTTTTATGTAGGGCTTGCCAGTGAAGAACGCTTTTTGCCTTTTTTACATGGCTGGGGGCGGGGAAGCAGAAGACGGGAGGACAGATGAAAATTATATCAAACCCAGACTGCCTTGTTCATAAAGTTTTGTTGGAACACAGCTATGCTTGCCCATTAATGTGTTGTCTTTGGCTGCTTTTGTGCGACAGCCATGAAGTTGAGTGGCTATATGGCCCTCAGAGCCTCAGGTGTTTGCTCTCTGGCTCTTTACAGAAAACAGGCTCTTGCACTAGAAGAAGTTAGGCTTTGGTTTTAGGAATTTGGGAAGACCATCCAGTTGAGAATGTAAACGGTGACGTGTGTATGGGTAAAGTTGTTTTCCCCTTGAAATTTTAAAAACTCTAATAGCACTAATATTATTTTGAATAGGCTTTTAACAGAAGAAATGTAAAACTTACATTTGAATGTAAATAGAACAAGAGAAAAATATCGAAATCCTTGGGCGAGGTATGCTGGAATATCAGGTATATTTCACACTAGTATCTGTTTATTTTCAGATGTTGTGGCGTATGTAGAAGTGTGGTCAGCCAGTGGAACAGAAAATTATTCAAAGACATTTACAAATCAACTTGCGGACATGGGGGCAAAGGTAGGAAATTCATTTTACCAGTGCCGCATCTGACAGCCCTCTGAAACATACGGAGATCTACTTGCATTTTCTTATTTTGAGAGTTTTGACTTAGAACACAAAGGACAAAGAAGACAGTGGGTAAATGGCAGGAGGAGGAAGAAAGCCATGGTATGAAGAATTGAGAACATTTGGGCTTGTACGTGATGGGAGAGGAGAGCTTGAGGATAAAAATATTGGTCCTGCCATTGGCTGCGTGATGCTGTTGATGCAAGTGCGGGATACAGGAAAAGGAGCTGTTCTTTAATGGAAACGTTGTGGATTTGGGGTATACTGGAAGTATCTGATAGACATTTGGATGTACAGATCCGGAGCTTGAGATTTTCAGGGCTAGAGATAGTGGTTTAGGCGTCAAGGCCTTAAGGGTCAGGTGAAGCCACTGGTGTGGTGACGACCCAGGTGGTTAGCATGAAAAGTGGTGCAGATGGAGCCTATTTAGTATTTCAAGGGCTGGCGGTGGGAGCCATGGAACCAGGCGGAGAAGGATGCCAGGAGAATCCAGCAAACAAGCCTGGAAGTTGGAGGAGGGACGGGCTTCAAAGATGGAATTTTAAAACACTATAGAATCTTAAGAAAAGTTAAGATTGGGAAGTATTCAGGCTTGAGAACTGTAAGGTCAGTGTTGGGTGTATCGCAGTTTTCAGGGAACTGGGTGAAGCGGGTGGAAATTAGCCCGGGAATCATGGAGACCTGAGGAATGGAGATGGTGAAGGCAGACGCTCTCTGAGTGAGTTCAGCTGTGAACAGAGTTTATTTGTGTGTGTGTGTACGTTGGGATTTGGGGGAGGGTGGCCGATAGGCTGGCGAAGGGAGAGATTAATATGGTAGCAGGGCAGGGATTAGGGTGAAGCAAGGACATCAGGGAAACTGCAAGGCGGCATTCACCGTCAGGCAGAGCGTGTGTGCTCCCGAATTTCCTTTGATTTGCCCTGGTCCCTGCCCTGATGAGACCGGATGTAAAGGCCAAGAGCAGATTAGGGTGGAGGACAGTCAGAATGCAGGGCGGGGCTTGCTTGTGAACCTGAGAAGACACCTTTTTTCTGACACTGGAAGGTAGGAATCCGGGAGAGTTTCCACCTGATGATACCGACCGCAGACTTGGGCTACACGTGTTATTGTGGCTGAGAAAAAAAACCGTGGAACACAGGAATTGGCAAAATGGCTTTTGAGAGTAGTATTAAGGTCTTAGGTCTCTTGAATCTTTTTTTTTTCGCCTTTATTTAGAAAATTTTCAAATAGAAAAATTGAAAGAATAGTGCAGTGAACATAGATCCAGCAATTAACATCTTTACATACTTGCTTTGACTCTGTCTTTCTAAACAGTATATTTATATGTGTATTTTTTTCCTCAGCTATTTGGAAGTAGGTTGCAGGTAGCATAATTTGCCCCTGAGTATATTTCGTCTGCATCTTTAAGAACAAGGACACTTCTGTGTGATGGAAGACTGTTGTCACATCTGAGAAAACTATCGGTGATTTCCTAGCATTTTTCTGCAGTAGTTGAATCAGTTTATCATTCTGCCAGCATATAAAAGCTCCGCTGCTGTATCTGCTTGGTTAGGTCTGTCTTTACCTTCAGTCATCCCGGTGCATTTCTGGGCATAGCATGCTGGTTTAAATTTGCATTTTCCTGCACATCTTCACATATTTACTTTGAAAACCCTGTTCAAGTCTCCAGCTCATATTTCCATTGGGTTTTTCTTTTTCTTCTTGATTTGTAAGCATTCTCTGTATTTCTCCGTTGACCCTTTTGTCAGCCATGTGAATTGCAGTATTTTCTGTCACTCTGTGGCTTACCTTTTCACCTTCTTAACGGTGTCTTTTGATGATAATTGTAAAGTAGTTTATTCTCTATGGTGAGCTTTTGTGTGTGTATCTTGTTTTAAAAAATTTGTTTCTCCACCGAGGTTATGAGGATTTTTCTCCTCTGTTATTTTCCAGAAGCTTTATCATTTTGCCTTTCACATTTAGATTTAAATTTTTGCGTATGGTGTGAAGTAGTTTCATTTTTTCCCATGTGGGTGGTCATTCATCTCAACACTCCTGATTGAAAAGACTGTCCTTTAGCCAGGCTACACAGTAACACCTTTGTCATCAGTCAGGTAACCATGTTTCTGTGTCCATATAGTCTGTTCTCACGACAAACCACCCTGTCTTAATTACTCTTTATCATAACTCTTCATAAGTCTTCCCCTTGTTCTTCAAGGTGTCCTGGCTATTCTTAGCCTTTTGCCTTTCCAAATACATTTTAGAGTCAGTTTATCCGTTTACAACATAAAGCTTTTTTGGGATTTTGATTGGTATTGGATTGATAACAACAGACTAGTACGGAGAGAACTGACATTTTTATAAAATGGAATCTTCTAACCCGTGAACATGATGTATGCCTTTGTTGATTTGGGTTTCTTTTTTTTCAGTAATGTTTTATAATTTTCTCCGGTTGTTTTTGATGCTGTCATAAATGGTATCTTTTGAATTCTTTTTTCTAACTGCCACTGTTATATAGAAATAGTTCATTTTTTCATAATCACCTTGTGTCCAGAAAACGGTAAGTTTTCTCAGTGAGTTTCTCACAAACTCATTTATGAATTCTGTGGCGTTTTGGGGATGTTAACAGTGTGCACAATTGAACCTTATGTGCAAAGACTGTTTTATTTCTGTTCTTTCTAATCCTAACACTTTTTATTTCCTTTTCTTGCCATCCTGCACTGGCTGGGGCCAGTTGAATAGAATGGAGATACCAGGCATCCTCATCTGGATCCTCTTCTCAATGGAAAGCTTTTAGCATTTCCCATCATGCAGTTCTGTACCAACTTTCAGATCCTAATTTACTATGAATTTTCCTCATGAATAAACTTTTTAACTTTAATGCGTTTTTGGCATATATTGAGATGGTTGTGATTTTTCTCTTTTACTTTGTTAATGTAGTAAATAATAATGATTGAATTTTTGTTGTTAACCAACTTTGCAGTCCTGGAATAAACTCAAGTGCTAGGAATGTATTATCCTTTTTATACTTTGATACTCTTTGCTAATTATTTTGTTGCTTATTTTTTTGCAAATGCAGTGTCACAGGAGTGACACTGGCTTGTACTTAAGAAACTGTGCAAATAGTATAACAGTACTTTAACTTTAGTTTTCTGCATTTTGTCTGCAGGTTTCAAAAACTTTCAACAAACAAGTAACTCACGTCGTGTTCAAAGACGGGTACCAGAGCACCTGGGCCAAAGCGCAGAAGAGAGGCGTGAAGCTCGTCTCAGTGCTCTGGGTTGAAAAGTAAGTCGTTTCTTTTGTTTTTTTACCCTTAAGTTACCTAGTATTGGTAGAGTGTGGAGGTATTTTGCATGAATCACAGAACCAGATAAAGTTTGATTGCCATCTTTTCTCTGCCTCTTACTAGGGTCTTTTAACATCCTCAGTTTCCTGAGTCGCAAGACGGGTGTGGTATAACTCCTAGCCTGCCCAGAGGCCCTGAGAACGGGGTATGTGTGGTGTATTCAGGAAAAAATAAGGAAGCAGATTGTGCTAGTCTGCTAGGGCAGCTGTAACAGAATGCCACAGACTGCAGACTTAAACAGCAGAAATTTATTTCTCACCGTTCTGGAGGCTAGGAGTCCAAGATGAAGGTGTCCACAGGGTTGGTTTCTTATGAGGCCTCCCCTTGGCTTGCTGATGGCCATCTTATTTCTGTGTCTTCACCTGGTCTGCGTGTTTCTTTGCCCTCATCTCCTCTTCTTATAAGGACACGAGTCCCACTGGGTTAGGGCCCACCCCAGTGACTCATTTAACCTTCACTGTCTCTTTAAAGGCCCCATTTCCAACTACAGTCACGTCCTATGGTACTGGGGGGTTAGGACTTCATGTGAACTTGAGGGACACAATTGAGCCCATACAGGAGTGGTCGAGAGGAAGCTTAGGAGGAGGTTGAGGTCAGGGGTAGTGGGGTTTCAGATGATATAAATCGAGTTCCCTGAAATCCAGATGTAAAGGAGTCATACTGCTGCTTTTCTAGAAAACTAGAGTGAGTTTACATGAAAGCAGTGATGTAAAATATAAGGAAGGCATAGACTTTGGCTGTTGATGTGTAAAGCTGCTCTAGAAGAATAAAGGCTATTAATTTAAAAACTTTAACAGTAAGGCATGGCCATTGATTCCATTTCTTGATCTTCTGTGGCCTGGGCAGTTTTGAAAACTCCAGCCTCACCCTTTTGTTTAAAATGAGATGTTCTTCATTTTGGATGTGATCTGTGCCCCGTGTTTAGACCCAGGTTATGGTTTCCCACCCAGAAGGCTCCATGAGTGAGGTGTGCCTACCCAGAGACCTGCAGTGTTCATCCGCATCTTAATTTTGGTCACCTGGCAAGGTGTTTGCTGCTTTTTCCACTGTGTAATGGCTGTTGTTTCCCTTGAGACTGATAAGCTACCTGTGGGAAGGCAATTTAAGATCATGCAGACCTTCTGCTCCCCCTACCCCCCAGGTGTAGCGTCGGTGATGGTTCTTGCCTGAACCAACCTTAACTCTGAATCTTACAAGACGACTCTTTTCCAAGTTCAGCACTTCCTCCTGTTTCCCCCGGCTGTGCCCAGCTGTGTACCGTAGTAAAGAGCGTGCTCTTCTCCCACGCTGATTGGTTAACTGATAGTGTCACCTGCCGCGTTCCTGTACTTTTCTGTGGCTTGTAGTTCACTCCTGTCTGTTTGGTGCTCAGATCGTTCAGTTTTGGGTAGAGGGAGCCCCTTCAGCTGATTCTTGTGTCACCGTGATGTGTCCCGTCTGACACCTTGTACCTGCTCTACCCCAGCCATGGCGCCAGCCATTTCTGCAAAGACCGTGATTCCTTTGAGTGGGGAATAGTATCAGAGACTAAGATGTGGTGCTGGTGGGCTCGCGGCCAGGGAGTATCACGGCTTCTTGGCCTTTCGAGCAAAGGTGGGAAATATATTTGTTCCTTTCTTCCCTTTTCCTTCCCTACTTTGGATTATTTGATCTTTTAGTTTTTAAACTAAAACTCTTTCCATTCTCTTTTTTATTTTTAGTGATTGCTTTAGGGATTACAAAATGGATCCTTAACTTCTGAGTCTACTTAGACTTAACATTGTACCACTTCACATAAAATGTAGAATCCTGGTAATTCTGCCCTGCCATCCTTTGTGTTACTGTTGTCATATGTATCACATCTGTATGCATATGCACATCTGTATGACAGTGTTGTCATTGTGCTTTCAACAGTTGTCTGTATTTTAAGTAAACTAAGAGAAAAAATTCTCTCGTATTTATCTGTGTATTTATGCTTGCTCTTCATTTCTGAGGATCTGAGTGTCTTCTGGTCTTATTTGCTTTCAGTGTGAATTATTATGTTTGGTATTTCTTCTTTTTTTTAATTAAGATAAAGTCCACATACCGTAAAACTCACCCTTTGAGTGTATAGTTCAGTGGTTTTTAATATATTCTGTTCACAAAGATTTGTAGCAGTTTCCACTGCCTAATTCAGGAACATTTGTGTCACTCCAAAATAAGCTCCATAGCCATTAGCAGTCACTCCCCATTGTCCCCTCAGCCCCACCCCCTGGCAACCACTAATCTACGCTTTGTCTCTCTGAATTTGCTTATTCTGGACATTTCGTGTAAGTGTAATCGTACGATATGTGGCTATTTATGTTCAGCTTCTTTCACTTGGCATATGTTTTAGAGGTTCATTCGTGTTGTAGCCTGTGTCAGTACTTTATTCCTTTGAGTGGCTGCATTATAAGGATGTACCATGTTTTGCTTATCTTCAGCAGGTGGACCTTTGGGTTATTTGCACTTTTTAGCTATTGAGAGTAATGCTGCTATGAACATTTGTGTACACGTTTTTGTGTGAATATATACTTGCAATCCTCTTGGATATATATGCACCTAGGAATGAAATTGATGAGTCGCATGGACACTGCTTGTTTAGCTTTTTGAGGAACTGCCAAACTACTTTTTGGATTGGATGCATCATTTTACATTCCCACCAGTAATGTATGAGGGTTTTTATCCCTCTTTCATGTTTACAGGCATTGTCGTGAATGTGAAGTGGTATCTCACTGTAGTTTTGAATTGTATTTCCTTAATGAGCAGAGATGTTGAGCCGCTTCTCGTGGTTTTACTGGCTTTTTGCATATCTGGAGAAATGTCTATTCAAATACTTCGTCCATTTTTTTTAAACTGGGTTATTTTTCTTGTTGAGTTGTAAGAGCTCTTTATCCTGGATATAATACCCTTATCAGATACAATATTTACAGACATTTTCTCCCTTTCTGTGGGTTATTTTTTCACTTTCTTGTTGATATCCTTTGAAGCACAGAAGTTTTAAAATTTTTCTTAAGTCCATTGTGTGTATTTTTTTCTTTTGTTGCTTGTGTTTTAAATGTCACATCTTAGAAATCACTGCCTAATCCCAGGATGTAAAGATGTACACCTATGCTTTCTTCCCAGTTTTATAGTTTTATCCTTACATTTAGGTCTGCAGTTATACTTGAGTTAATTTTTGCACATGGTGTGAGGTAAGGCTTCACCTTCACTGTTTTGCATGTGGTTGTCCAGTTTTCCCAGCACTGTTTGTTGAATAGACTGTTCTTTCCCCATTCAATTGTCTTGGTACCCTTGCTGAAAATTAATTGACCATAGATACATGGGTTTATATCTGGATTCTCAATTCTGTTTCATTGATCTGTGTGTATCTTTATGCCAGCACCACCGTCTTGATTCCTGTAGCTTTACCGTAAGCTTTGAAGTTGGGAAGTGTGGCTTCTCCAATTTTGATTTTTCAAGATTGGTTGCCTCTTCCAATTCCCTTGCATTTCTGTATGAATTTTAGGATTAGCTTCAACTTCAGGGAGAAGCAAAGGGCAACTAATATTTGATAGAGATTGCATTGAGTCTTTAATTAGGTAGGTGTTGCCATCTTAACAGTATTTAATCTTGCAATCCATGGCCATTGGATGTGTTTTCATTTTTTTGGCTGTCTGATATCTTTCAGTGATGCCTTGTAGTTTTCAGGGTGCAAACCTTACACCTCTTAGGTTAAATTTATTCATAATTTTTTTTTCTTTTTGATGCTATTATAAATGGAATTGTTTCATTGTTTAGTTGTTAAAATATAGAAATGTAACTGACTTTTGTGTGTTGATCTTGTATTCTGCAAGTTTTCTGAACTTGTTTATTAGCTCAAAGTGTTTTTGTGATTTCCTTGGGATTTTCTGTATACAGTGTTGTGTAATCTGTATATAGAGATAGCTTTACTTCTTCCTTTCTAATCTGGATGCCGTATATTTCCTTTTCTTTTCTAATTGCCCTGACCCTAATCTCCAGCACGATGTTGGATAGAAGTGGTGAGAGTAACCATCCTTGTCTTGCTCCCAGTCTTCGGAGAAAAGCTTTCTGTGTTTCTCTATTAAGTGAGATGTTAACTTTGGATTTTTTTTTTTTATAGATGCCCTTTGTCAGGTTGAGGAAGTTTCCTTCTATTCCTAGTTTTTTTTTGTTTGTTTCGGTTTGTTTGTTTATCATTAAAGGATGTTGGATTTTGTCAAATTCTCTTTCTGCAATTATTGAAATATTCATGTGGGTATTTTTTCATTCATCCCATTAATGTGGTGTATTAGATTGATTGATTTTATATGGTGAACCAATCTTGCATTCCTTGGATAAATCCTGCTTGGTTATGTTGTATACGCTTGTTTTTAATTGCTGGATCAATTTGCTAGTACTTTTATTTTTGCATCTGTATTCATAAGGGATATTGGTCAATACTTGTGATGACTTTTTCTGGTTTTGGTGTCAGGCAGTATTGGCATCATAGAATGAGTTGGGATGTGTTCTTCTGTCTTTTGAAGTTTGTAAGAATTGATGTTAATTCTTCAAGCATTTGGTAGAACTTCAGTGAAGACATCAGGGCCTGGGTTTGTTTTTGTGGGAAGGTTATTGGTTACTAATTCAATCTCTTGTTATAGGTTTATTCACATTTTCTATTTCTTGAGTCAGTTTGAGTAGTTTGTGTCTTTCTAGGATGTGTTCACTTCATCTAGGTTGTCTAATTTGTTGGCATGTACTCGTTTGTAGTATTCTGTAATAATCCTTTTTATTTTGATAAGGTCAGTAGTGACCTTAAAAAAAACCAAAATCATTCTTGATTTTAGTAATCACTTCTTTTTGTCTTGATCAGTCCAAGCTAAAGGCTTGTCAATTTCACTGATCTTGTCAAAGAACCAACTTTTGGTTTGTTGATGTTTCTCCATTGTTTTTCTGTACT